CCCCCCCCCCCCCCCCCCAGTTTGGAGAACCCAAATGAGCTCCAAGTCTCACTTTAGGGAAGGAAGATTGCTTGCAGGGAATAGAGGAGACCCTGAACCCCCTATTCATCGTCCCCCACCCAGCTCACCTGAGCCCGTGGATCAGGGGAGCGCTGCTGGATCTCCTCAGGGCGCCCCCATCAGATGTGTCAGGCTCAAAGTCCAGCTCCATTTTCTCCTGAGCCATGTCGGAGACTTGCAGGCAGGCACAGCGGGCAGTGCTCAGCTCCTGGTGCTTAGCTATGGACTCCCAAGACTCTCACTGCAGGACTGAGCTGCTGGGGACTGGCAGCTGGGGGCGGGGGCTAAGGGGCGGAGGCTTGGGGGCGGGGGCTGGGGCGGAGAAAAGCAGGAGAGGAGGAGGAGGAGGGAAGGAGGATGAGGATGAGGAAGGGAGGCTGATAGTGAGGGGAGGAGGAAGGGGAGACGGTAGCGAGAGGAGGTGGTGGTGGAGGGTGACAGAATAAGGGGAAGATGATGGAGAAAAGAGAGGGATGGAGGGAAAAGAGGAAGGGAAAGGGGATAGATGGAAAAACAGGAAAACAGAGTACAAGGAGGACAGAATCGGGAAAAGATGAGGGAAAGGACGAGGACGGAAGGGAAGGAGGGCAGGGTGGAGGAAAAAGAGGAGCACGAGAGAGGGAAAGGAAAAGACGAAGTATGGGGAAGAGGAGAAGGAGGCGGACAGAGGGAGAAGAGGAGGGGGAGGAAACTAGGCAGCGGCGGAACTCATGTTGCTATCTTTCGGCCGACGACCTCAAGTGGGGCCGGGCTACAGACACCGCAGCTGCCCGGGCAGTGCTAACACCACCGTAAAGCTGACAGTCGGGCAGGGCCCGGCCGGGCGGCCTCGACGGCTCCAGCTCCCCATGCTCGGGGACCCGGTCCAGCCCCCCATGCTCTGGGACCCGGTCCTAGGAGCTCCTCAGCCCTGCGAGGGGTGCTTATCCCCTCCCTACCCCCCCTCCCCGCCTGGAGGACAGGTGGGGGGTTCGGCCCGCCGCCGCGGTGCCTCCTCTTCCTCTCTTGGGTTCTGATGGCCCGGGGGGAACCCCTTGGGGCCAAGACCAAAATCTACAACCTGCCGCCTCTTCCGCCTCCCACGCTTCAGAAGCGGGAACCTCCACGGGGCCAAGTCTTCCGCGTCCGGGCACCTATCAGGTCCTGCGCACGCGCCCGGCGGCAGCGCCAATGAGCCCGCGGGCACGGAGCATGCGTGGGAGCCCCGCCCCGCAAACCTCCTCCAAAGTGGGAGGAGCGTTTCCAGGGGGCCCGGCGCCTTCCTCTATGGCATTGGCCCGGGGACCCTGGCGCCCGATTTTGAAAAGAACCAATAGTTTGGAGACACTGGAGCATCATCTTTCAGGAGGAGTTTGGGCCAATATTCGAGGGAAATGGAAACTTGTGGTTTTCACGTTTTTTCGCTCCCAGTTTGTTTGCTCTGACCTCTGTGATCCCTGCTCGTTTCTTAAATCCCTTGATTTTGTTGGCCTTTGGAGGGGCTGATCTCTTTTTCAGATCATCCATTTGGTTGCACTAGACAAAACGGAAGTGAAAAAATAATGAAAGTTCACATGGCGAGTGGCAAGGAGTCATCTCCATTTTGCAAGGCTTCAACGATGTTAAGAAAAGTCCTGAAGAACAAGCAGCAGACCCAGAATTTTTTTTTTCTTTCTAGGATTTATGGAGACCCTAACAATAGCCATTCGGCACGTGTGAGGCCTGGGATTATTTTATTTAACAAACACCTACACAGCAGTTACTGTGCTAGGTCCAATTCTAAGAGCTTTAGAAATATTAACTCATGTAATCCTCACTACTTGAATGACCCTAGGGTAAAGATGGCATTGTATTGTGTTAAAATCATACATACAAAGAAATATAGGAAATTTGCTAGTTAGGAAATTGGTTTCAAAATTTAGCAAAACTGCTTTAGCTGCCTCTTCAATTTAGTTATCCCATATTAAACCTGCCAAGCTCAATCATTTTATTCCTCAATGTTAATATTTGCTCCTTGTAACGCAGAGTTTCTAAAGCTCTTTTGCAAAGTTTCCTTTAGATTGCCTACATCTTCCTGCCAACTGGATTAGAAACTCTGTTTTTGATCAACGTATTTATCTCTTTTTATCTCAAGGTCATAGCAACTCCATCATCTGCTCAAAAAAAAAAAAAGTACAGTCTCGTGTTCACAAAAGCTACTGAACAGTCATTCGCTGACCACATGCAGAGTCCCTAACTCTGAGGAGTCCAACAATTTAGTAGAATTGCTAACGTTCAGAAGCTTAATGATTAGGAGAAACTCAAGGACATGTGAGGATATGGATGCTACCTTGGCCATCATTTCAAGGTTCAATTCACATATTCCTGCCTACCTAGTTTCTTTCACTTCATGGAAATCTTTTGGGAGGTTTGGGGTGCTTGTAACCTGTGGCCTTGGCCTCAACTTTTCTCTGACTTACCCTTATGATAACTAAGGGTTAAGCAGTTGCTTAAAAGTTGCCATAACAACTGGTAAACTAGACAACTGATTATCACATATTTGTGGGTCACCTTTTATAATGAAGAGGCCTGGCACAGATGGCAGCAGACTGGGACACTCAAAGACAGGAGTAGCATAAGTGGCAAGGTATAGATCTAAGCAAAATGGCAATCTGAGATCATGGCATATTGCTGTGGAACAGCAGGAGCTGATCGTGAAACACAGCTAGGTTGGTATAATCGTGTATAAAAATGGGAAGAAGTAAAAATAATTTCTTCAAATATTGTGTTTGCCACTATAGTATACAGAATTGTTTGTTTTTTTTTTTAATTTTTTTTTCAACGTTTATTTATTTTTGGGACAGAGAGAGAGACAGAGCATGAACGGGGGAGGGGCAGAGAGAGAGGGAGACACAGAATGGGAAACAGGCTCCAGGCTCCGAGCCATCAGCCCAGAGCCCGACGCGGGGCTCGAACCCACGGACCGCGAGATCGTGACCTGGCTGAAGTCGGACGCTTAACCGACTGCGCCACCCAGGCGCCCCTGCAGAATTGTTTTTGTATTACTCGTTCCTTTTGACATTCTAACTTATGCATGTACTATAGGTTCCTGGCATTTAGCTACACTTTAGTTAGAGAGTTCCTCCTCTTTGGTAATAGCTGAAAACTTCCTGCCATCTTGGGTACGTAGTTGTTTCATATTACGACCCCTTTTCTTGCAAGTCTCTTGGTTGCTCTTTCCTTGTCATGTTATAAGCTATTTTCTTAGTGTTATTGTACTTCGATTTTTAAAAATTAGATATCTGTAATGATTAGGCATGATGATATTGCGTGTTCATTCAAAATATATCTATTAAACTTTATTACTTGCCACGAATATCAACAAACACTTTGAAAAGTACAATGAGCAGCAGAGTGGGAGTAAGATCTAGTTCTTTTCTCATGTACTCCCTCTCTATTTTTCTGCTATTCAATTTGGCTTTGACCCCATTCTGTATTTAACCACGGCCTTTGACATCCACCCTGACTTACTCAGCTTTAACTACCATCTTTCGTAAATTTTCCAGGTACCCTGGGAACTTTAACAGTGGCTTTCAGGAGACCTTGGTACCAGCTCAGATTCTACTGCTACCTAATTATGTGCCATTAATCTCTCTGGAATTTTATCAACTGTAAAATAGAAGTAATTTGCCTTCTTTACAAGATGGCTGTGAATGGCAGGTTATTTAAACCTGCATTTATTCATAAAATAATTTAAAAAGATTTATCAAGTGTTTATGAGTACAGAAATAGTATCCAGAGAAATATCCAGACGCACCTCATCTGTCTTTTCACTTAAATAGAACGGCAGAGGACTCTTGGCTTTGCCACTTAGCAGTTGTCACTTGTGTAACCCCTCTGGGCTTCAGTTTCCTCCTTTGACAAATGGGCATTGTGATAGTGCCTACCTCACAGAATTACTGTAAGCATTAAATGCAATCACATATTTAAAGTGCTTATGGGGCGCCTGGGTGGCTCAGTCAGTTAAGGCTCCAACTCTTGATTTTGCCCAGATCATGATCTCACGGTTCATGGGATTGAGCCCTGCGTTTGTCAGCACAGAGCCTGCTTGGGATTCTCTCTCCCTCTGTCTCTGCTCCTCCCCCACATGCACATGCTTGCACTCTCTCAGAATGGATAAAAAAAAATTTTAATAAGTGCTTAGGACAGTACCTGGCGCATAATTAAGTGCGTAAAAAAATGGTAGCTATTGTTAACCTGTCTTACGTCAGGAGACTCCAAATCATCCTCATGTCTGGTAATATAATTAAGTTTTTCTTATTCTGTTCTCAGAATGAATGAAGAATGATTATGATCGTTCATGTCATTAACTTGTCATGAACTGTTTCAAGATAATCCCATTACATTCACCAGTAATTAGCTGAGCAGCATTCATGATTGAACCAATTGAGACGAGTATATGAAGACATTTTTTAAACTCTGAAGTGCTATACCATGTAGTGACTATTTTAATTAATAACTATCATTTCAGTAGTTTCACTTGCCTTCTCTGCCAGTTCTCTATACGGTTCTTAAAAGGTATGGTTTTACAAAATTATTAGCATGGAGTTACGATTTCAGTATTCCGTGGCTCATTAAACTGGTGCTGAAAAATTCTAAAAGAGCACTTCTTAAAATGTTTGAAGGGGCGCCTGGGTGGCGCAGTCGGTTAAGCGTCCGACTTCAGCCAGGTCACGATCTCGCGGTCCGTGAGTTCGAGCCCCGCGTCGGGCTCTGGGCTGATGGCTCAGAGCCTGGAGCCTGTTTCCCATTCTGTGTCTCCCTCTCTCTCTGCCCCTCCCCCGTTCATGCTCTGTCTCTCTCTGTCCCAAAAATAAATAAACGTTGAAAAAAAAAATGTTTGAGCCATGACAGCGTTATTAAATGGAAACACTGATTTGGATGAATATTAAATTCTGAGACACTTGTTCTGAGCAAACAAGCTTCTCTACTTTAACTCAAATCATTTTCTTAGATGTATAGCTTTGAGAAGATAAACGGTATTTAGTGTAAAAATATACACTTATGATCACGGTAAAAAAACAAAAACAATGAAACCACATGGAAAACAGTGATTTGTCTGCACAGTTGATTCAATTGGATTAGCGCCCTACCAGGACACTTTGGCCCCCTCCCTGTTTTTATATTATTTTTGCTTCCCTTCCCTTATGTTCTCTTATGTTTTGCCTACCAGGACACTTTGGGAGCAGGTGGCAGGTCTTGGGTTGTTCCCCCCCGCCCCCCAGACGTATTGCATTATTTTAAAACTACAAATGTGTAGTGTTGGCTTTAACAGGACAGAGGTAACAAGCTTGTAGGTCTCAATTATAAGGGGATAATTGGCTAATCAAATCTGAGAAAACAATATTATATTAGACACAGCAGAAAAGACGGCGCTCCCGTACCCCTTACTCCTCCCCACCCTTTCTTTCCTAAATAGCGGTCAGCGAAACCATCCCGCGGTTCACATGGGAGCGGAGGAACAACCACGGTTAATCGCCCCTGGGAAGAGAGAAGAGAGAACCCGGCTAAGGGTAAAAAGACTGCTCTGACTGCGCGTGCGCCCCCCCCGCCCCCGCAAGGCTGGCGAAAGCGCCCTCATTAACCCTCATTGCTTGCGTAATAAGTGTGCGTCGGCGGGCCGCGCGTCCGGCGCATGTGCGGAGGGGCGGCACCCAACTGATTCTCGGAGGCGACAGGTTGTAGTTTTTGCTTGGGCCGGAAAGGGTCCCCTGGGGTTTCCTTGGCCGAGGGAAATAAGGGCAAACAATTGTGGAGGTGACTAAGATAAATTCCCCACTTTCATTATAGACTTGGAGGTGGGGTATCTTCTCAGCGTTAGGGACCCGGAGCTTGTGGGGGGTCCGAGGGCCCGAGCCAGCCTTGCCACGCTTTGTGCCCACTGGTATTAGGGATGGTAGGGCTGCAAAGGTGAGCACTCGTCTAAAGGTGGTGCTTCCTCTCTTTTTCCCCTTTTCCTCTCTCCCTGCTCTCCTCACCCAGTTGACTTGCCCTTATGTGAATGGGAGCCAGAAAACCTTGCGAAGTTCGGACCAAGCAGTAGCTTCTTCCTCGACGTGGACATGGCACAAGAGAAAATGGACCTAGACTCGGAGCTGCTGCCGAGTTCAGCCACCACAGACGACTCGCTGAAACGATCCAACAGCGCCCCTTTGATCAGTGGGCTTGGGTGAGCAGGCTTGAGATAGCAGGGGGTGGGTGGCAGGAGTTGGGGACAGTGACTTACGATAGCATTCCCATCCCTTTCTTCATCGAGCTTCTGCAGCTATCTCCCGTGTTCCTGCTGTCTGGAGATCTCACACTCAGCCTTGGGGAGGAGTGGGTTGGGCTGGCCGGAGGGAGAGCGCACACCTACCCTGAGGTTGACACACGTGAACCTGAACGTACTCTTCTGACAGTCCACAGGGACCCAAAAGCAGCAACCTATTGGTGTGGAGCAGGACTTTTTCTAACTTCACCCCATCTCTTACCCACTCCTTTGAAGAAACTGAGTGTTCCCCACCCTTTGCCTCCAGATCTTCTGTAATGACTGTAATTTTTTGTCATTCTCTCAGCTGCTTTGTCACCTCTGACCTTCACCTCCAGCTATCATAAAAGGTTGCGAAGCAACTAAGCTTGGGCCTTTTTTTACACCTAGTTTTTATTTGAACAAAAAGTTTAGGTACCACAGAAACTTGATCTCCTAAATGTTGCATCCTCAATGGCCGGTACTGCCCCCGACTTCGTTCTTGGGGGGAGGGTGGTGAAAAACATCTTGCCTTTTTATGTACAAACCACAGCTATACATACAAAAATTTTGTGTGAATTTTTAAGAGGGAGTAATTGGAGGGAAAATGTAAAAAAAAAAAAGGGGGGGGCTCCTTAGAGGGGCGCCCGAGTGGCTCAGTTGGTTAAGCATCCAAATCTTGATTTCGGCTCAGGTCATGATCTCATGGAGCCTGCTTAAGATTCTCTCTCTCCCTTTCCCTCTGCCCCTACCCTCTCTAAAAAAAGGGGGAGGGAAGACTCCTTTGAGGACTGATAATGGAAAACATAAGATTTAGAAACACTGACCTGATGGTTAACTGTTTTTCCTGCACATATCCAATATCTGGCATGGCACAAGCTTATAATTTCTTAAAATAGGGTTTGAAAGTGAGATCTTGGATCTCACATCATAGTATCATAAAGTTTTATCAGTATTGTAAAAATGTTTGAAAAATTCATTCACTTCCTGTGTTAGTAACTTTGTTCCTCGTTTTTGCTAGCATCATACTAATTGATAGGTATAAATCACAACAGTTAGAAGTGAACTCAGAGACCAGATCTACCCTCCTTATTTAATGTATGAGGAAACCGAGGCCCATAAGTCTCTAAAATGACGTAGTAGGGCCAGTACTGTGTCTCCTGACTCCTAAGCTAGTGTTTTGTCCACTACTAATCAACTTCTAAGCTCATTAACTAACCAAATACAGCTTTCTGGTCATTTGAGGCAAAGGAGAATATACTGTTCCAAAAGGAAATGCAAAGTAAGATTAATCAAAAAAATAATGCATTATCTTTTTTAATAGGCAGATAGAAAAATAAAGGGGAGGCAGCTGTTCATGTTGAGCTGAAAACGAGAACATTCTATAAATTCAGCATAGACCCTAATCCTATTGTATGAAAAAATGAATTGCTATGGACCCACTCTGCTAGAAGAAAGCACTTGAGGAGAATGTTGGTTTTATTGGAAGCCTTTATGAAATGAAAAAACAAGTTGCAAGCAGTCCTAGAAACAAGGAGAGTGATCGCAGTTATCCCTTCATGCTTTGTTTTGTTCTGCGAAGGATTAAAAGTTTTTGTTTTTATCATATTAGAGCATGCTTACAGTGTCAAATTCTGTAGCTTAAGCTCCTGATGCATGAAGCGAAATTGGTACAGAAAGGTGAGAATCAGTTTACCTATTTATCTACGAGGAGTTAAAGATAAAGAAACCACAAGGTGGACCAAGTCCAGGGACTCTCATGTGTCATAAAGAAGTAACCCGAAGATGATATGTGACATGCCTGATGTCAGGGAACTTGGCCAAATGATCTCCTGAGGGCAGATTTTGTGCTGTTATGGCCAGTTTAGAGCATGGTCAGGAAAGTGACACGGCAGGGAAAACAATTTGGAGTAGAATTACACTAGAATTCAAGTTCACCTCCATTCTTTTTGGTTGTATATGTACACTGCTCGCTTCCCTCGCTTTCTCACTAAATTGAGCCTCTAATACTTGTCTTGCCTCTTTCACTGCTCATTAAATATTGTTGCACTTCTTTCAAGTAATTTTCCAATTTTGCTTGATGCTTCCTGTGTATGAACACAATCTCTTGCACCAGTATTCGCAGAATTTGTTCCTTAAATATTAACTCTTTAATATAAGAATTACTGTTTTTTTTCAAAAAAGTTCCTGCACTGTTTTGTGTACATCTCGTATTAATAAAAATACTGATGTCAGGGGCGCCTGGGTGGCTCAGTTGGTTGGGTGTCCGACTTTGGCTCAGGTCATGATCTCACCGTCCATGAGTTCGAACCCAGTGTCAGGCTCTGTGCTGACAGCTCAGAGCCTGGAGCCTGCTTCCCAGTCTATGTCTCCTTCTCTCTCTGCCCCTCCCCTGCTTGCTCTCTGTCTCTCTCTGTCTCAAAAATAAATAAAAACATTAAAAAAATTTTTTAAAAATCAAAAATACTGATGTCAAAACTTTTGAACCTCTTGGTTCTTTATACCCTTTAGCCATCTACTTGTCTGACTTCACTACTGGTGTCAATAACCTTATTTAAAGGTAGTTGTTTTTTTTTTCCTTTTACTTCTCTGGCCCTTTGAGTATTAGTAAGTTCTGGGATTTCTGCCAGTGCCTTCCCCCTGTAAATACCTCTAGTCTGGCCCTGCATTTAAACTGTTTGAAAGTCAAACTACTACCTGTGGGCCAAATCCAGCCTGCCATTTGGTTTTGTAAATAAAGTTTTATTGGAACATAGCCGTGCCCATTTGCCTACTTGTTGCCCATGGCCACTTTCCTACTACAATGACAGAGTGGCTGCCACAGAGATTGTATGTCCCACAAAGCCCAAAATATTTACTGTCTGGCCCTTTGCAGAAGAAATTTGCCAACTATCTGGCTTATTAAATTCGTACAAACCTGGAAAGACAATAGTGGCTGTAGTGAATGATTGCTTTGGGGATATAACTAGCATAAACATCTTGTAGCTTAGATATTTAGACAGAGCTGCTTATTGCTCATCTGATGTGGTGCATTGAACCTGTATCTAGTTATAGTGTCTTTACTTTAAGTTGTAGCACTTAACTCAGTTGTAGGTATCACCTAGGATTTTATGAATTCATGTTGAGTGACTCCTACCTATTGAAATCTATGCTTCCTCAATGATTTCTTTCAGTTATAGTCTTATTAAAATTGAGTGACAAAAATTTAGGGGAAAATATAATTGCCAGCCTTAAGAATTACCCTCACATACAAGAGTGCAAATATGTAACCCATTAGTGTCCCTCCAGCTTTCTTGTGACTGCTAGAATATTTTCCTGTTCTCATAGAGAAAAATGATCGGAAAAGGAAGTAAACATTAGACCCATACCACATATCCCCTCATAAAATATTGAGTTACTACCTGTTATATACAAATTACTATGCCGCAAAGATGTATTATGACTCAGTAAGCTTTTAATTTAATAGGGAAAATAAATAATCAAAGGATTTAAATATATGATAGACTAAGATCTGTGCTTAGGGAGGGAAAGAAAGTGCTAGGGAGATGCAAAGAAGGGAGTGAGAAATGACAGTAGGATTGAGGGATGAGGAAAATGTTCTTGGAGAGGAGGCATATGAGATGGATTCTGATGGATCGATAGGATACAGACAGGAAGAGGGGAGCCGGAGAGCTGGGACAGCATTCCAAGAATATGCTGAGCCTCGAGCCTGCTTAAGATTCTCTCTCTCTCTCTCTCTCTCTCTCTCTCTCTCTCTCTCTCTCTCCCTCTCTCTCCCTCTCTCCTTATCTCTCTCTCTCTCTTTCTCTCTCAGTCTTCCTTTCTCCCTCTCTCCTCTCCTCCGTCCCTCTGCCCTTTGCACCTCTCCCCCACTCTCACGCAGGTTCAAAAAAAAAATGTCCTCTTGTAAGTGAAGTGATGGTGTTGGTAAATGGTGGGATTTAAAAAAAATGTTTTTAATGTTTATTCATTTTTGAGAGAGCATGAAGCGGGGAGGGGCAGAGAGAGAGGGAGACACAGAATCCGAAGCAGGCTCCAGGCTCTGAGCTATCAGCACTGAGCGCAACTCGGGGCTCGAACTCATGAGCTGGGAGATCATGACCTGAACCGAAGTCAGACGCTTAACCTGCTGAGCCACACAGGCGCCCCTGGGATTTTTTTTTTTTTTTTTTTTGATGACTTTACTTCACAACAGAAAGTTGGTAGCAACTGTACGTTTGTGCCAAGATTTTGTTTTGAAATCTTACTAGTTCATCACATCCAAAAGTCTAGAGCTAAAGTGTGGAGGGCTTTGAATGTCATAGTAATGAATGTAATTAAATTCAGCCCACGGTAATGAAGAGAATTACTGAATATTGTGAGCAGGAGAGCAAGCTGTCCTTCAGGAAGGTGACCTGGTAGTCTGTTAGGTAGATTGTGGCAGGGGCAAAACTGAGATGAAGTGACAAATGAGACTATTGCAAAGTCCGCAGGAAAGTAAAAAGGCTTTGAATTGGTTTTTGGCAGGGAGCCTAAAAAGAATAAGATGGCCCTATGAGCAGCTACAGAGGCAAAACCTGAAAGACTTGACACCTGAGTGGATATGGCAAAAATGAAGGAAATGTTACCAATGACTTTTATCCTCCTTGGGGAAACCTGGGTGAAAGGTACACGGGAACCCTCTATAGTCTAGCAACTTATTGTGAGTCTTCAACTGCTTCAAAATAAAAAGTTTTAAAAAAAGACATAAAGGGGCACCTGGGTGGCTCAGTCGGTTGAGCGTCCGACTTCGGCTCAGGTCATGTCTCACAGTCCGGGAGTTCGGGCCCCGCGTCGGGCTCTGTGCTGACAGCTCAGAGCCTGGAGCCTGCTTCGGATTCTGTGTCTCTCTCTCTCTGCCCCTCCCTTGCTCATGCTCTGTCCCTCTCTGTCTCAAAAATAAATACAAACATTTTTAAAAATTAAAAAAAAAAGATATAAAAAGGAGAAGATGTTTTCAGGGTCCCAAGCCCAAATAAGGCCGAGGCGCCATCGATGCAGAGAAAGACGAGCCCCATCTTCAGCAGGCAGCGGTTGCTTGGCTTCAGCCTGTGGTTGCCACGTGGGAACGTGGCCCGGTGTGGCCACGTCTTGCAGAGTTTTCAAGAGAAGCTAGAAATCCGGAATCTGGATTATTTGCGTGAACCCTCTTAATGTTTTGAGTGTGTGCAACTAAGTTAAAAACATTTTCATCAGGGGCGCCTGGGTGGCGCAGTCGGTTAAGCGTCCGACTTCAGCCAGGTCACTATCTCGCGGTCCGTGAGTTCGAGCCCCGCGTCGGGCTCTGGGCTGATGGCTCAGAGCCTGGAGCCTGTTTCCGATTCTGTGTCTCCCTCTCTCTCTGCCCCTCGCCCGTTCATGCTCTGTCTCTCTCTGTCCCAAAAATAAATAAACGTTGAAAAAAAAAATTTAAAAAAACATTTTCATCAAACAAAAGATACCTGTGAAAATCTCAGTTCTGTCGACCTCTACTGGTTATCCCTCTTGTTCGTGTGAAAGCTTCACACGGAGGAAAGCTTCGAGAGGGAGTTGGTATCACACATGGTAGCTTCAGTCATAAATTTAAGTCAGTTACAGGTTTACACAGAAAATGATGCATTTCCAAGGCCACAATAAATTATACTTATTCTTGGTAGCATGACTAGAGGTAAAGTGGCATGCTTGAAAATTTCTTCCCTTACAGGGACACTTGTTTAGGCTCAGCCAACTAAGGCTGTGCATGTGCATGTGCACACATATTGCAATTTATCCATCTGCACAACTGGCGCCCCAAAGAAGCCATTTACGTTAATGGCATTGTTTCTTAAGTATTTGGAATCTTATTTCTTTAAAAAAAGTTTTGTAATGGATTTTAAATGTTTTCCTTTTTTTCATAGTGATAATTCACAGGTATTCCAAGCTGACACGTTAACAACTAGAAGAAATAGCACAACGCTTATGACCCAACAATGTCTGGTAAGAAAATGCTTGTAGCAGCCTCACTTGGCCAAGACCTGTGTAGTTGGTTTTAACTAGTGCTTCTCAAACTTGAGTGTGCACCTGGAAGGCTTATTAACATAGACTACTGGCCCTCAACCCCAGAGTTTCTGATTCTGGAGATCTGGGGCGGGACCTGAGAATTTGTATTTCTAGCAAGTTCCCAATTTGAGAAACACAGCTCTAAACATTACTGAAGGAAAAATAAACACGGTGACTACAGTTATGATTGCTTTGCTGCAGCTGCAGCAGAGTTAACTTTTAAATCCCATGTGGATTTAACATTGAGATTTGTTATGTATAAGACCATCTGGCTTCCAATTTTTAAAAGAATGTCCTAATTTTGAGAGGAAAATTTGCAGGCTCTCTTAAGAATAGTTTTTAGGCTTTTAGTTTGACTTTTATCTCACATTTATCTTGAATTGAAAATAAAGTTTGTTTTTCATGGTGTTAAAATGTAATCTCTAAATTATTACTCTCACTTAACTAATTACCCTATAAATATAGGTAATAGCTTGTAGATCAGTAAACCAAAATGAACAAATGATTTACTAAATGAATCTCTTTATTGATGTGAAATTCATATAATATACAGTTAACTAATTGAAAAGTATTCAATTCAGGGGCATTTAGTGCATTTACAGTGTTGTTCAACTACCACCTCTCTCTGGTTTCAAAAAGCACACACTCTTGTTTTCCAGGTTGAAGGCTTTCAGTCTTTCATCACTGAATATGATATTACCTATAGGTTTTGGTAAATGCCCTCTATCATGTTAGGGAGGTTCCTTTCTATTCCTACGTACTTGAGTATTTTTATCATCAAAGCATTGGATTGTTTCAAACGCTTTTCCTGCATCTATTGAAATAATCATGTGGTTTTTCCCCCCTCTGTTCTGTTAACATGATGTATTACATTGATTTTCTTTTATGGAACCACATTTGCATTCCTAGGATAAATCCCACTTGGTCTTGCTGTATGATCCTTTTAATGTACTATTGGATTTGGTTTGCTATTACATTGTTGAGAATTTTTCCATTTGTATTCTTCATACGCAATGTTGGTCTGTAGTTTTCTTCTCTTGTAGTGTCTTTGCTGGCTTTGGTAACAGGGTGATGCTGATCTCATAGAATGTGTCAGGAAATGTTCCTCCTCTTCTATTTTTGGAAGAGTTTGAGTAGGATTGGTGTTGATTCTTTAAATGTTTGGTAAAATTCACCAGTGAAGCTATATCTGACTTTTCTTTGTTGGGAGGGTTTTGAAACAGATTCTATCTCTGTACTTGTTTACAGATCTATTGAGGTTTCCTATTTTTTCTTGAGTTTGTTTGGTAATTTATGTGATTTTTAGGTATTTGTCCATTTCTTCTAGATTACCTAATTTGTTGACGTATAGTTGTTCATAGATTTCTCTTACGTGATTTTTTAGTGAAATGTTATAGCTTGGAACCCATTTTAAAATAATGCCTCCTGATCTTGCAACTGCATATTTTCCTCTTTGTAGAATGGTATCCAATATTATTTCCCCCAATGCACTAATATTATACCAGAAAAAAAATAGAATTGTTTGTTAAACAAATCTTCCTGCTTTTACTCATTCATTTATTTACTCATTCATTTAACAATATTTATTGACTGCTTGCTTCTCCATCAAAGCCCTCCCTACCTATTCATTCTTCTTTTCTACTCAGCCAAGCCAACAAATATTTTTAGGAACCTCCTATGTATTAAGCCCTGATCTAGTTGCCAGAGAGATCTAACCTAGTTTGAGGGGTTGAGGGAGGAAATGACCTCTCTTAGTTGAGATCTTACTGATGTGTAGGAGTTAGCTAGCTTGGGATGTGGACTATAAGAGCAGACAGTACTCCAGGTAAAAAATGACACGTGTAAAAGCCTGGAAATGAAAAGGAGTATGGTGTGTAGAGAATTTGAAAGAAGTGCATTCTAGCTAAAGTGGAAGTAAGGATGAAGTGGGGAGAGATGACATTGATTGGACACATAGATTAGTGCACCATCTCGTAGGGCCTTCCAAGTCGTGCTAAAGATTTTTCACTTTGTCCTTCTAAGGTCAATGTGAAGCCACTGAAGAATTCTAAGTCTGGGACTGACATGACCAGATTTGCATCTTTGAAAGACTACCCTGGCTGCAAAGCGGTAAGTAGATTGGAAGTGGGCAAAAGGAAATACAGGATGATCAGATAGGAGGCAGCTGCGGTGACCCTGGCTACTGCGATGGCCGTGAGCATGGAGGAGAGTAGGAGATTCGGGAGATATTTGAAAGGTAAACTCAATTGTTGATAAATTTGATGGAGGGTGGGCAACGGTGGAGGCAAGGATGACTGCTAGGCCTCTGGCTTGGGCAGTTGATGGGTCGGTGGGGCCACAGAAGAAGGGAACATTGGCAGAAGAATGGATTTGGAGGGAAGACGAGTTTAGTGTTGGACATGTTAAATTTGAAGTTCTCTGGGATCTCTAAGTGAAGATGTTAGTTGTACTGATCTCAGTACCACTGAGTTTGAAGCTCAGTTTGAAGGAACAGTTTGAAGCCCAGGATAGAGATCTGAGCTAAAGACACATGTTTAGGCACCATCACTGAATCGTTAATTAAAGCTCTGGGAATGCATGCTATGACCTATGCAGAAAGTCTAAAAGAAGAAAAGAGGCTACAGGAAACAGCTTTAAAGATCACCAGTAGTACCATGAAAAGACACGGAAAAGTATTAAGTTATATGCTATCGAGTGGCCAGAGAGCAAGTACTTAAGTAATACTTAAGTATTAAGTTATAAAGACTGAAGGATGTCCTTTGAGTTACCAAAATGGAGATTATTAATGAATTTCTTGTATTTGAAAGCAAATTCTGTGGAGAGAGGGGTGGGGTGAAATGAAGCCAGATTGGATTGGGTTGAAGAATGACTGAGAAGAAAGGACTTACAAAGGGCATTGTATATACTAGCTTGGTTATTCGGGTACACGTTACCCTTTCTATGTGCTAATTTCCTCATCTGTAAAATGGGAATGTAACCGTATCTGCCTCATAGGTTTGTTGAAGTGAGTACATTAATCAGTGTAAAATATATCCGTAAAACTGGAAGAAAAAGAGAAACTTACAGCACATAGCACAACAATGTGAATATACTTGACACCACTGAACTGGTACATTTCCACGCAGTTAAGATGGTAAATTTTATGTTATGTGTATTTTAACATAGTTTAAAGGGGAAAAATGCTCACAGCATGTAAAAAAAAAATCAGTGTAAAGCACTTAGCACAGCATTGACACATACTAAGTGCTCCACAAATATTATTAATTTTTTTAGTTTTATTAGTAATGGTACATATATAGAACAGACATGTACCTGGCATTTTTTTAAATGCATAATTTTCCTTTGGAATTCTAGGCTTTTAATTTGCATAATGTTCAGTTTAATATAATGTGTGTTTTAAAACAAACCATCTTATATAACAGGTTGTGTTTGGCACGACTGACGTCATTTACACTTACCTGATGACAGGAGTTTCAAGGCTTATTGGTTTCACTTGCTGTAACAGCATGATGCATGAGGTTTTATTTTGTTCAAAGTCTGCACTTCATTATTATTGTGAGACTTATGTAGGTTTATACTTGCTTTCGGGATAGATAGGCCGAATTGTCTGGGAGAATGACAGATAGTTGGGATGCTTTTGGCAGAAGTAACAAAATCCACTTAGAAGCAGCTTAAACTCTAAGGGAATTTATTATCTCCAATAACAAGAAATCTTAAGGAGAGGAGCTTCCAGGGTTGGTTAATTCAGCGGCTCAGTGATGTCATCAGACACCCAGGTTCCTTCTGTCTTTCCACTCTGCTACCCTCAGCAGCCTCACTAAACTTTGTACCTAGTAATTAGATGTAGGGTTCAGAATCCTATGTATAGCATGAGCTTGCATGTATTTACAGATGTTGAGAAGGATATGTGTCAATCTATCAGTAGTTATTTCTGGGGCATGGAATTATAGGAAGACTTTTAATTTATAGCATTTCTATACTATTTGCTTTTCACAAAGCATCAGCAATACAGGTGTTTTCATTTCCTTTTTTTAAATTTTTTGTAATGTTTATTCATTTTTGAAAGAGAGAGACAGAGCACAAGCAG